ATAAAAGTTTTTTTTTTAAAAATCTCCCTCAGGCTTGAGACACTCCGCGGAGAGCGTGGCGCAGATGAGAATGACGTCCTCACCTTCCACAACCGAGGCACGAACTCCATCGCCTCAGACCAACAGCCGCCGCTACAGCCGGGCGACCGGGACCAGGCCCAGGCGGATCACTGGCAGCAGCAGCAGTTTCAGCAACAGCAGCTTCAGCAGCAGCTGGACTACCATGAGATCGACTGCAACATCAACAACGAGAGAACCATCAAGTGCAGGAAGGAAGGCCCCGAGGTCTACGTGCCCTTCTCGTTTGTCAAGAAGTACTTTGAGGTGAGAGTTATGACCGACCTTGGGTGATGGTGTCGTTAGGTAGCCTTGTTACTTACTGTTTCTTGGGGGGTTCTTTTGGTAAGTGTTTTACAGCGCTCGCCACGGCATTAGGTTATATGAGCGCGCGGGACACATTATATTTTCAGTTGGTAAGGAATTTTGAATTTTACCCGGGGGGCGGCCGAAGTCTACTCTTATTGATTTTAGACCACCAAGGAATCTTTAACGTGCGCAACTTGCTCACGGGACCTCCGAGATTTTTCGCCCTTGTCCAAGAAGGCCAGGTGTAGATATTTCCTCTACCACAAGATCAGGGGTGTGGCTGAAAGACAGCAGTAAGAAGGAGCTAAGGTGTAGCAGAAGAAAGGCTGCAGAAAGGGTCAGGGGCCCAGAGGAGGGGGTAAAGGCGGTGAGGGGGTGAGGGCAGAAAGTGGAAACGAAAGCAGACGACAGAGCATTGCTAGAGAGCAGGAAAGGAGGTGAAAGGAGACAATTTTAGTGGAGACAATTTTTCCGTCGCTACCCTGGATTCCAAACCTGGACCTTTGAATCAGAGGCAAACACCTTAACCCCTAGGGCACGAGAGCCCCCTGTTACTTACTTACTCTCTCCCTATATCCCGAGGTCTACGTGGTGATCTCGTTTGTCAAGAAGTACTTTGACGTGAGATTATGACCTACCTTTGGTGCTGGTGTCAGTCAGTAGGTAGCCTAGTCGCTAGCTTAGAAGTTACAGAGTTCTAGCTGACATTTTTTGGCCATTTTGAGTTACAAAAACCGTGAGGTCAGAAACCAAATGTTCTATCTGCTCTTTATCAAAGTTGTAAGATTATACGGGGACGAGATCAGATATTCAAAGAATTACATTCGAAAAAGCTTGACATTTAGTGAAACTCAAGATTATTTTTTTCCGTCAAATCTTTCAAAATTAGATACTGAGCAGATTAAACTTTGTAATTCTAGGATAGTGTAGATCTTGTGGTTGGGCTACCGGACCCGTTATCCTGAAATTACAGGTTCGACGTTTCGAGCCTCCGCTCAGTCCGACGTTGTGTCCTTGGGAAAGGCACTTAACAGGAATATCCCATTTGGCTCTGTCCTTTTGGAGATTGACATTAAACTCGGAGGTCCCGCATTTTAAAAATAACCTAATAGTGTTGAAAGGGACGTTAAGCCTATACCATTTCACCGTTCCATTTTCAGTCTCGGGTATACCCGTATCACAGTTTACGGGCACAAAGGAAAAACAAGAGACGTCAGTCAATGTTTGAGCTAATTTTGAGTTGCGACGTGGCTTGGAAAGAGTTATCGCAGCAGTAGCTCTTCTGCCCCGTCTTATTTTCAACGGCTAACACCTGGAGACTCGTCCAATACCCAGGCTTGGAAAATAAGCTATTCTGTGGAAATAGGCTAACTGTCAAGAATTTTCACGTTTGTGGTTATCTCAAGATGCCGACATGTGACTTCCCTCGTTTTCCCTTGTGCCGTTTAGTTTTGATGTTGTTGTTCTTTTCCCTCAGAAGTTGCCACCTCTATTGGCGTGATTCTGCGTTATTGTTTTTACTAAGTGTTTTCCTTCGCAATGCGGTTGGTTCAATCCAAAAAAACTTTTTTTTAAAAATCACTAAATGACCATCATTGTGCTGATGGTCATATTCTCTTTACTCAAACAAAAATACTTAAAAATTAAGCAGAAAAGAATACTGACCTAAACTTTAAAAATACGCATTAAAAATTGTGAGGCATCGTGATGAAATCAGGCGCTCGTCAAAATACGTAAGAAGATCGAAGACACGGGCCTTTTTCTGCCAGTTTTTGCAATTTTTATCGAATATTTCTTTCTTTGGCGGAACGCCTCTTATGTCTTTATAACAACATATTATTATGTGAATTTTATTTCAAAATGTCGATTAAAGACACGAAATATGTTATATTATGTTGTGCTGTTATGTGTGTGTGTTGTCCAGGTGTACGGGGATGTCGTGAGCACTGACGGATACGAGCGGTTGGAGTTCCACCACGCCAACTCCATCGTGCACCCGCCCCGCGCCACCTACACGCCCAGCGCCATGTTCATGGCCTTTGACCACTACAACGTGGAGAACAGAGAGAGGGTCAAGTGTATCACGGCCTCCGAGGGTGAGTTTGTTAGAGAGGGAGAGAGAGATAGGGGAGAGAGAGAGAGAGAGAG